GTTGACATAGTACAAGTTCCACCAACATCAACAACGGCAGAAGTTCAATAGTTTGTTGAAGAACCAAGGGGAGCTGAACACATAGACATGGAGATTTCTCAACTAGAGATTGAAGGAAAAGTTCCAAATGCTGCAGTTGAGATTTTGGATATGAAAGTTCATAGGGATAAGCAAGGGGAAGATTCATCACAAGATAGGCTGATTGGTGATGTAAGTGGTCAAGAAGCTAATGTTATTGATTATTTAACAATGAAGGTTATGGAAGGTAGTATTTCAGACATACATTGCTTTCAAGATCCGTTTATAGCTATGTGTTTGACATCTACTCTACAGTCCAAGTATGTTGAAGTAGCTATTGGAATTACTACTCCATTTGTCATTGAGGTACATCAACTTTTCATCCTCAAGTTCTTCAAAACTCAAGGACAAGTTTTTTTTGAACCAGGGGAAAATAATGCAGGAGCTGAAGAATTAAATTTGGAATTTTCTTAAATTTTCTGTATTTTTGTATATTTGGATAGTATGGGTATTTTCGTCATTTTAACTAGTCCTGTGTGAGGCCTGGGCTATAACATCTTGCTCATATAGTTTAGTAGGGCTATCTTTCAATTTTCAGTTTATTTGCATTATTAGATAGAAAGTTATTGTGTTTCTTGATGTATAAGACAAGGAGTGGCATTCTTGTAATTATGGTGAACAGTATTCCCGGCCACGCAAGTCACTCTATAAATAGATGTATTCTCTTCCTTTAGAAGCTAACAAATGAATGAATATTTCTTTAGAGCTCTCTTGCAAGTTTGCTGTATGGAATGATTCCTACAAACCCTAAAGTGATTCTAGGACCCTTGGAGACTTGGAGTGATTCCTTGGGATTTCTCTCTCTTTTCTCTTCCTCTACCCTTTCTCCCCTCTCTCTCTCTCTCTCTCTTCCTCTCTTTCTGTCTTGTGATAGTTTGTTCCAGCCCTACTGCATCAGTAACTAAAACCAAAAAAAGAAAAAAGATATGTGAGTTTAATTAATAGAATAAAAAAGGAAATGTATTAGAAAGATTGTGGAATGACAAGAAAAGTCCTTCTGCCAGCAGTCAACAATTTAGAATATTAGATTGTTACATATATTTAAGAGCCTAGTCAAGTGAAGCAAGCTTTAATAATTGACATTATTCCCACTAGCTTGCTGAAACTAATCCCTCTAACAGTTGAGAGAAAAATTTTTTTTCCTTTTTCTTAGAAAAGCCACTCCTCTTTCCTTTCCTTTTCTCTTTTAGTCTTTAGTTACTCATTGGGAAAAAAGAATATATGTGTGTGTGATATAGATTAGGGATAACATCACTCCCTACCCCTAGGTTTATTGTTAATAGATTGCATTTGAACAGGAGTTTAACTCCCACCCTCTGGAAAATAACATACAAAAATATTATGTACATGCGTACACAATATAAATTCCACCATGTGATTTTCTTTCTTCATCAGATTCCTCAACCTTTTACTTACCAAAATCTAAACATGAAGCTTCTATTGAGTTTCTTTCCAAGCCTAAATTTATATTCTAGAATCATTTCATACAAATTCTAAAAGAAAATCTCTAATCAGTTAGAAACAAACATATGAACTTGATCAGTTCACATGAGCAATGAATATGCGGACAATTGGAATGGATACTAATATCTGTATATGCTCCACAAGAATGTATTTCAGTATTGACCTTCTCCCAAGCTCTAGAAAAGCAGTTGAAACAAGATGAAACTGGTCCATTAGAACTTTGTAGTCCTTTGTACCACCTAAACATAAAACCATCACCATGATTAGTATGTGCCAACACCATGTACCCCTGCTTCTTTGAATAATTTCTAGGAGTATCTTTTTACTCATACTAATAAGTTCTTTAATCTAATTGCTGACCCAAAAAGAAAAAAGAAAAAGAAAGGGAAAAAAGATTTTACATATGATGAGAACAAGATTCAATAATATGTAATTCAGGGAAGACAACAAAAAGAAATAGAATAAAAAGGAAACACTACAACAAGTTTTTTCAAACACTCACATGAGAAATGCCAGTCACCATCATATATATGTTGATGAAAATTTTTCAGAATAGGTACTTTGATATCAGAAGCTATGCTTGTATCATCCTCTGCAAACCAACAACCAAGTTACAGAATTAGGTGGAAAGGTACACATTATTCAAACAGTACTATATGTCAGAGAAACAAACAAAAAATAGAAAACAATCACAAAACTGCAAGCATTACTTCATCATATGAATCTAGTCGAGCTATAAATTCATAGTTTCAGATATTTTGAAATGAAACCAGTTTATAAGCAGAGGCCCCATATATCTATCTATCTATCTATCTATCTATCTATCTATCTATCTATCTATCTATCTATCTATCTATATATATAAAGAGATTTAATTCAGCATAATTGGCAATATTAAACAATCAAGTTGCACATCTGTTAATCTGTTGGTATATTAACAAGATCGATTCCTTGATCTCATGCTGACAAAGTAGCAATGCCCCCCCCCAAATCCCCCAGTGAATATCTCATTAAGCTTAACTTTGATTGGTGTTTCCTTGATAATCTTAGGCCTTTTGGGATTAGAATGTATGGAGACAGTAGTGGAGATTTGATATTGGCTACTCTGGTTCTGTGGGTGATAAAGATTCAGGAAGAGAGCAGCTACTATCCCTCCTATAGGATCTTCTATCCATGGACTCTGATGCCTGATGACTCTGGATGATTCCTAGATAGTTGCTGAATCAACTTGGACAGATGACCAAATTACTCGTGGGTCTGTGGAACACTGGACCATCTCTTTAGGATGGTGAGATCATTGGGAGTCAAGCCAAACTCCTTGTTCAACTGGACCCTTAGATTTTCTTTTTTTTTTTTCTGAGAAAAGGTAAGGTGTTGTATTGATATCCACTATTAAAATACAAGTGTGAGCCTTATAGGCACCATGTACAACCAGGAACTATACATCTCTAGGGCCAAAAAAATCACACCCCTGCCAATAGAGGATGGCTCAGTTGGTATGTTAGGTGGTTCGATCCAGCATAGATGCGGATTTGATTCCCACAACCACCAACAGGAAGGGGGGTTATTAGTGATGTGTGTCACCAAAAAAAAATCATGCCCCTAAATCAAAACCCAAGACCCCTTCCAAAGGGAAATACTCCAGTGAAGCTTTACATACTAGCAAAATAAAATACTGGGTTCAAAAAACTGATGACGAGGTAGACTTCTGAACTGCTCATGGACAAACAATCAAGAGTGTATAGTTGTTGTAGCCCAATGCAACACTAACACATCATCATCAGAGCTCCTCTTGGACTCAAAAACACTATAGTTCCCTTCCAAATAATCCAGCTGATTACTAGGGGAATCATACCCACAGATCTTTACCCCTCATGTTCAGCCCCACCGGCTTCCAAACTTTTAGCACGTCGCACAAACTCCTTGGAAGACACCAGCTGACATTAAGAAGCTTACATAAATGGTTGAAAAGCAAAACCATGACCCTACAATTCAGGATCAAATGATCCACTGATTCTTCTACCTGACCGCACATTGAACATTCCAGATATTCCAACCCCATGCCCCTTCTAGCTAGCTGGACATTAGTTAGCCACTTCCCATTCACAGCAGATCGCACCAAGAAGCAACTTTAGTAGGGGCAAGAGAAAACCAAATCTCCTTCCATAGAATTTTTTTTTTATTATTTTGATCAATAACCTTCAGCAGAAAATTAGACTCCCTCCCTTCAGAGAGGTTCTTGTAGAAAAACTTGACTGTAAGTTTTCCATCCTCAAACCACTTCCAAATTCTTTTATCAGACTGGTTAGGGGGATGTTTATACTCTTGAAGCTGTAGCAGCAATCCAGTCAAGTCTTCAATCTCCCAATCATTCAACTACCTCCTGAACCTTGGGCACCATAATCCTTCTCTGCTCATCCCAAGGGTCAGCCACCTGGTACTCCTGTCTTCTGCCACTAAAAGTAGGGATGCATATTTGCCAATTCAACTGGACCCTTGGATTTACCAACTCAGGGACACATGTTTGCTAGAGGGGGTGAGGAAACAATCATTGCATCAGGATTCCTCTGTACTGAAATAAGGTCAATGATCTGTACCTCATGTATTTCTTGTATTTGGAGCCTATTTGTTTTCCCTTTTGGTTTGAGATCCTCTTTCTTTTTTTTTTTTTTTTCTTTTACCTTTCTGCTCTTATTCATAAATTTTTTGTTGCAGATCAAATGAAAAGAATCGAGCATGCCACATCTAACAAACCAGAATGAATTATTTAAAAAATAAAAAAAAAGACCATAATAGAGAAGATCACAGCATTTACACAAAGACCAAGAATAATGGAAACTAACCAACAGTATCAAGGGCTCTCAGAACCAAATAGAAAATGCATACCTGAAAAGAGGAAAGAAGAAATCAAATGAAAGGCCTAAGCATTATAAAGGTAGGAACTAATCTAGATAAGAAGAAAATGCAATAAGAAAGAAGAATAATTAAATATATGCTATCCTAGAGATTTTACATCTACGGGAACTAATTCAAAAAGCAAACACACAAAAGAAGAAAAATAACTTCTAGAACAATAATGACAATTAGAGTGCGAGGAGTGAAGTGTAGCTTACAGCGTTGCGGAGCTCAGGACCGAGCTGTTGAATAACAAGAGAAAAGCTGCGAGAAACCTTATGAAGCATCTTATAGCAAAAGCCCCAGTGTGGTTCAGGTGGAATCTGCTTCCCCACGTTCCTTGCAGCCATCTTCAGTTTGAAAAGTGGGTAGATATCATCTGGGTGCTTCAGAACTGTCCCCAAGCTCCCCATTTCTTCCTCGCTTGTGCTTTCAATCGAATCCGGAAGAAAAAAAACCAAAACAGGAAGAGGGAGAAACAAAAGGAAGCACAGAGCAGATCACTTCGCCTTTGCGATGGCCGGCAACTACAATTGGTCTTACAGGGTATAGGAAGAGGGAGAAACAAAAGGAAGCACAGAGAAGATCCCTTCGCCTTTGCGATGGGCAACTGCAATTGGTCTTACAGGGTATGAAAAGAAGAACGAAGTACCATTTTATGGAAGTCTTGAATCTACCAACCCTGGTGAGCTTGGCGTGAGTAGCGCTCTGTGGAGTAAATCCGGATTCATGGCAATGACGATGGCAAACCACAACTGGCTGGAATGGTTAAAAACAAAGAACATGCTTACATAAATCGGATTTGGCCCAACGCGCTTTACACCAACTTTTCACATCACATTGCAGCGCTGCATTGAGAATATCTTCTCATGAATAACAAAATCATGTACGGGAGATATAATCGGTTACAGTGGAAAAACAGCATCCGTTGCTCTCGGCCATCGCTGGACTTTGAATATTGACAAGATGACAGAAATACACTACTTCTCTTTGTTTTTTTAGTGATTTTTGAGTTCCCAGCAGTCGAGGGCACCTAAGTCCTCAACTCAAAGTCCAAGAACTCCAACTAAATCCGGCCCACACTTTTTTTTTTCAAACGCAAATTTTTTAAGTAACCTAACTTGTAGGAAATTGACTTGATCTATTCTTTATAAATTATCTTTTAAGTATTTTAGGTTTTTTTATAATTGACTAAATCTTTCTCTATCGTTAATCTAATAGCCTGGCCCAGCCCGTTCTAAATCGGGTCTGAACATAATTTTAGGCCCCGAGTTTGGGCTTAGGCTTAAAATATTATTAATATAAAATATATTTTTATTTAATATAAAATATATACAATACTTTTTTTTTTGTACTTTTTTAATAGTGAGATTTTTATTATGGTATTCATATAATTTAATTAAGAATGTAATACTATTAAATATATATGTATGCATATATATACACATATATGTATGTATATATGCATATATGTATGTATGACATTAATTTCTCCATACTTAATATGGGGTCATTCACTAGTGTGTATATAAAAGGAAGTAAAACATGTCTAAACATTAACTAGCACTTGTTCAATGAAAATATTTATATATTTTAAATTTTATTAATGTTTTTACGTACTTAGGTTGTTAGGGACCATGTAACCCTATTTGAACTGCCAACATGAAGATTGTTTGTCCATGGTAGACTTGGAGAGTGCATAACAATTGAAGCTTAGAACGAAAAGATTGAGAACGTTGGACGCAAGTTTTATGGTTGCCCCTATTATGTAAGTTAAATTTAGGGGCTATATAAATAATTTCATAATATGAGGAGGAAATTTGATAACTTTTACTTGGTTCTTTGTAATAGGTCTCAGATAGAAGATGCAACTTCTTCTTATTGGAAAGATGAGGCCAAGATGTCCATATGGAATTGGGGTTTGTAGAGTATTTACATCTACATGGACTGGCACACAAGGCAAAGAGTTTTTTGTTTGTGCAAAGCCTTAAGTAAAATAACTTTCACCAAATTATTATTAAATTAGAACAATCAATATTATATATTGAATCTTATTTTATTATGTAAGAGGAAGGTGGATGAAAATTCTTCCCATGGATACCTTTGGTAAAGAGGCCTATTGTCCAACAGTAGTCTAATTTGAGAAGGAGTACACTTAGACAAAATGTCTAAATGGTATGATAAATTATTGAAGCATATAAAAAATTCACACATCAAAGATGTACAATATGTTTTATTAATGTAATTTTTGTAAAAATTGGTTAGCATAGAACATTTGACCTTTTGTGTTATATAGATATATTGTTGTGGTTAGTTTGTTAAGCTCCCTTAGACCTCTTGTATTACACATAATTGTGCTTCACCACCACATAAGATGGAATCAAATCACTTAGTATTTAAACCCAAATAGATTTAGTTGTTTGCTGAAAATTTTCATTTACAATTGTTAAACAAAATAGACAAATTAGTTATTTCAATGTTTCATTTGTCAACATAGTAAGCTCAAATAGTAAATTTGTGCTCTAATTAGTCATGAAAGTTTATTACATGAATGCTTTCTGGTTGTAATTAAAAAGGAAAAAACAAATGGATAGAGTGATAGCTAAAACTTCTCATGTGAATTCTTCACTATGTTTGATAATCTTCCAAAGGTATATATACAACTATGTATGAGATCAACCTCATGGTCACAATTCATTGCATGAGTCCAACTTTCAAGCCCATGGCCCAAAACCAACCTCAAATCAAGCTCGTTTTCACAAACTCAAACTTGACTGAGCAAAGAACTAAGCCCCTTAATATTTATACTTTCATACTTTTGCTTATATAATTATAGTATATGTATATGCTCAACTAGTTTGAATTCTTCTTTTTTTACCTTAAAATATGGCCTCTCCTCTAGTAAAAAGTCTATCAGTAAGATGAACAATAGAGAGTCTATCACTAGGTTTTAGGGGTGTCAAAGAATGAAACCCCTAAAGAGCCTTTATTATATTATCAATATTTACAAGTAAGCCTATATGAACTTAAAGAACTTACAAGAAAGCCCTTATAGGGTTGATAGAGGAAAAAAATAAAAGATCAATAGGCAGGGGTTATAATATCAAAATACATCAATACTCTCTATACTCCCCCTCAAACTGATGCGGAGTCATAAGCATTAGCTTTCCCACAAGAAATAGATGTCTTGCTCTCATCATGACCTTAGTAAAAAATATCAGCAATTTGCATATTTAAGGCCACATGAGGAAGAGAAATAGACCCAACAAGAAACATGTCTTAGATAAAGTGACAATCCACTTCAATATATTTAGTTCTCTCATGAAAAACGGGATTTGAGAAAATCTTGATAGCACTAGTGTTGTTAACATAAAGAGGAACCAGCGTAGAAAGATGAACACTAAGATTATCAAAGAGGGATTACAGCCAAACAATCTTACTATAGACAGATGACATAGTTTTGTACTCTGCTTTTGTAGATGACTTGGAGATTATTTATTGTTTCTTGAATTTCCAAGAAATGAGAGGATCACCCATGAATATGCACCACCTTGTAGTAAAGCGTTTGGTGTCAGGACAACCTGCCCAATCAACATCAGCATAGGCCCTCAATTGAATTAAAGAGGAGGAGGAAAAGAATAGGCTCTAAGGTAGCGTTCCATGAACATATCGAATAATCCGATGAACAATAGTCAAATGAGGCTGATGAGGGGCAAAAACAAAGTGAATTACAACATGAACTACATGGAAGATGTCAAGGCAAGTCATAGTAAAATAAATGAGAGAACCCATAAGTTGTTGATAGAGTATGGCATCAAGTAATAATGGACCTTATGTTTTGGATAACTTGGCATTCAATTCCAAGGGAATATCAACTTGCTTGTCATCAGTAAGATCAGCCAATTTGATAAGATTATATGCATATTTTTGTTGACATATGAAATATCCTTGATCACATCATTGAACCTCAAGTCCTAGGAAGTAGGTGAGAGCACCCAAATCCTTCATATGGAATGAATTATGATGTAGGGATTTAAGTTCTCTCATTCCCTCATCATCATCCCCTGTCAACAACATATCAACATATAGAAGGAGGATTGTGATTTCATGAGATGAACAAATAGATAATAGTTAGAAGAACTTTGGCTATAACCAACAACAATTACAACACATAACTTCTCAAACTAGGCTCGAGAAGCTTGTTTTAAGCCATAGAGGAACTTCTTTAATTTGCAAACAAGAGAGATTACTACAGTACTTGGAAAATGTTTCATATACATTGTCTTCTTGAGTTGACCATGAAGAAAGGCATTCTTCACATCCAACTGATGGATAAATCAAGAGTGTATAACTAATAGAGCCAAAAGAACACAAATTGTAGTAATCTTGGTGATTGGGGTAAATGTCTCTTCATAATCAATACCAAATTTTTGTGTGTACCCTTGGGCAACAAGGCAAGCCTTATATCGGTTTAAAGAGCCATCAGATTTCAATTTAATGGTGTAGACACATCGACTCCCAATAACATAAGCATCTGAGGATATAGGCACAAGATCCCAAGTATTATTCTCATACAAGGCATTGATTTCTGCATTCATAGCCTCTTTCTAATGAGGGTTGTTACTACCTCACTAGTAAGTATAAGGAATATTTGTAGAGGATAAAACAACAGAAAATAAACTATGATTTGAAAGAAAGCCATAGAGGTAAGGAGGTTAAGAAATGCAAGTAGAATGATGAAGAGGAACGAAAGCAAAAGGGCTACATGAAACAAAAGGAGCATCACTTACAGGCACAATAGTCGGATGATCTGAACTAACAAGAAGAGAGGTCATAGGAGTAGGGTCTAGAGAACGTAACCTCTTGTAAGAGAAAACAAGATCCTTTATAGCCATCAAAGAAGAAGTGTCATGTGAATCAAAGTCAAACAAAATAGAAATTGAATGACCAGGTAATCTAGTAACACCAACAAAGAAAGAAATTTGTTCAAGAAAAACAACATTATGAGAGATACAAATATATCAAATAAATGGACCATAAGATAAAAATCTCTTATGGTTAGGACTATAACCCACAAAGGCAAATATAGTAGATTGAGCAAATAATTTGGAGTGCTCACAAGATGGGAGATGCACAAAACATAGACAACCAAACACATGAAGAGAAGAAAAGTTTGGTGGACGACCAAATAACTTCTAAAAAGGAAAAACATTAGAAAGAACAAAAAAATAATGTAATTGATCAAGAACATAGTTGTACTAGATACCTCCACCCAAAAGGAAAAGAGCGCATGCAACTTTTGTAATAAGGTCTTTACAACACTAAGGACATGTCAATTATTATGCTTGGCCATTCCATTTTGTTAGGGAGTATCTGGACAATTTCGTTGAACTTGTATCTCATTATTCTTCAAATAAGTAGAAAGTCTCCATTAGTGTACTCTCCCCATAAAGTCTAAGTAGAGGATACATACACAAGACTGAAATTGAACTTGTACCATGGTGTAAAATAACCAAAATGCTGGGAAGACTTCTGATTTATGCCGAAGAAAACAAATTCAGGTGTACCTAATACAATCATCAATAAATAGTACAAAATGCCTGTATCCCAACCAAGAAGTAATAGAAGAGGTCCAAATGTTAGTATATATAATTTCAAATGGAGAAGTAGCATGCTAAGACTTATAAGAAAAATGTATGACCCTTACTCAAACAACAAGAAACACATGAAATATGAAATGCTTATAAAAAAGGAATTTTATTTCTTATAAAACTAGTCAAACAACAACTTTAAGGGTAAATCTCTTAAACTACCCCTACTGTTTAGCGAATTGACACACAATACCCCTACTATTTAGCTATTGTCTTGCGTTACCCTTAAGTTTTCTGATAATTGTCCAAATCCTCCCTTGCCGTTACTCGACCGTCAGGTCCCATTTGCATGTGACACCACGTGATTGATAATTTTTCCATAATTCCCAAATTAATCTTTTGT